CTATTGTTAGTTGGATCAATACATGTCTCTCATCCATAAGTCCCACCTTTCACTTGCCTACTGACTTAAGATCATCTACGCTATTTCTGATAACCTCCATAGGTGGGTGTCCCCACTGAAATTTTTCATCAGAGCAAACTTGAACTTTTCTGTCAGGGTAGAAATTTCTGAGTCAGAGAAAAAAATTATTGTTTTCTCACCTTTCCTACTACCCTTATTAACAAAAGGACAATCATCTGTGCCATTGCGACATTCCTTATAGTTTGAGGGAATACCACCGCTGACTCTACTTAAGGGATTCCCAACACGTGGGCAAAGAAAGCCTTTGCCGGTTCAACAAAAGAAGAAAGAAGTGTCATCAGAACAACAGTTGTCACCTGCAGCGAGAAACTTGTCGGGCTGGAGAGAAAGGCGTAGAAACAAAGCAGAAGATCGGGTCGGAAAGGAGAAGCACTGCGTCAAAAACCGACGTAGAAGGACGAGCCCCGGAGCTAGACGCCGACACAGAAACCACGGAACTTGCAACTCGACAAGGTTGACGCTCGACGTAGAAGCTTGCGCGAACGAAACCGCAGAATCCCTACGTCGTTGTAGACGATCGCGAAAAACAAAACGATCCTCTGCCGACACGTTAGCGGCGAATCTTGCTAGCGGTAGAGGCAGAGATGGTCAGAGCGTCGAAAGAAACGGCATAGAGGGCGGCATCCTTCTCGAAAGATGCCATGGGAAACGACGACGAAGGGCTGAGGTATATATATATATATATTAAAAAAACCCAAGGGCTAATATATTAAAGAGAAAAGATACATAAAAGTTGTATGGGTGGGTCTAAAAATAGACACCCAACCCACACGATAACACACCCGAAAAAGTTAAAAAGGGGTAGATATAAAAATATAAAATGCCAAAACCACCCGGACGCTGAAAAAATGAGGGTCATTCCAATCTTGTTATGTCTTTGACTCTAGTTCTCGGAAGGGATCCAGCTAGCAGATTGGCACGGTGCGTACCATTACCCGACGTAACTAAAGTATCATCAATAAGACTCTTGAGCTCAAGTAGATCTCCATTCTTCTTCCTCCTGGAAGTGTAAACCTCTTATTTCTCATCCGAAAAATCAGTCTGACGAGGTGATAGAGCTGACGCAGAAGGATTACCAACCGTAGTACCTACAATAGGTTTTAATAATTGTAAAGTATGGGTTGCCTCTACACCAGATACTTCCTAAAGAGGGAGAGCTACGAGGTTCTCCTGATTATCAATCTGAGTACTGTCCTTTATAGGTAATAGTCCATCAGTATTGTTTTCTATGGGGTTTGAAGGTGTCAACATCACATCACTCGCAGTAACAGTAATAACAGTGTCATGGGGTGGTCACAGGGGCAACAGTATCCTCCCCAGATGGAACTAAAAAGTTCATAGTAGTGGGGTTAGACCCATCTATATTCACTTGAACCTTAGCTTTCAAATTAGAATGAAACTTGTGACATTTATCAAGGATATGCTCAAACATCTTATAGTGAGTACGATATGGGGGTCTGTGTTCCATGACGATTTGTTGCCAATATCCATTATGGGTTGTGCCTAGCCAGACTTCAGTAATATCAGGTAAAGTAATAACTCTTTCCACAAGTATTATGGTCACTGAAGATCTAGTTAGGTTGAAAGTAGGCAGATCTAGCTTCAAAAAATCCCCAAGGATGACCCCAAAAGAGTAGAGAACCTGATGGTGAAAAAAATGCAACTTGAGACCAGGTAGACTAAACCATACCGGTACAGCGAGAGTTTCATGATTTGGGTCGAAATCAGGAGACCACTTGAGTAACTTCATTGATTTGTCTGTGATATTAAGATTTTTATTGAAGAAAATTCGGGTGTAGTCTTCAGCTAGTATTAGTTAAATCAACACATGTCTCTTATCCATGAGTTTCACTTTCTTCTCATCCTATGGCTTGGAGTTTAATATCTATCTATCTACTAAGTACAGTACTACCCCAACAAAAAGATATAAATAGACTCAAAAAATTTAAACATGCAAAAAATAAATAGCTAGGGATGAGCCATTTTAATCCTGCCTCTTTCTCTAGTTTTAGGAGCAAAATCAGATAACAAATTTGGAGTGTCGTACCATTGTCAGGAGAAACAAAAGTATCATTCATTAAGTTTCCAAGTTGGAGTGTGCCCCCAGCCTTCTTCTTCCGCCGAGAAGTGTAAACCTATCATTCTTCACCTGAAGACTGACTCATGTGATACTCGGTCTGAATAGATATTAGAACCGTAGTAGAAGGAAAGACAACCGTTGCCACAGCGATAGGTTCCAGTGTATGTGAAGTGTGAATTGTCATCTCTTCACCTGATGCTTTTTGAATAGGAGTTGCAAGGCTATATCGACTTTCGGTCTGAATATTATCCCTTATAGTATGGTCAGGAGAAGGGTTCCCAGGGGTAGACACCATTTCCTGTCTTGTGATAATTCCCTCAGGTTAGTTGTCATCAAGTTTGTTGGGAATGCGTTTAGGCACGTAAACCTGTCATTCTTCATCTGAAGACTAACTCATGTGATACTCAATCTGATTAGATATGAGAACCGCAGTAGAAGGAAAGTCAGTCGTTACCACAGCAATAGGTTCCAGTGTATGTGAAGCGTGAATTATCGTCTCTTCACCTGATGCTTTTTAAATAGGAGCTGTGGGGTTATCTTGACTTTCGGTCCGAACATTATCCCTTATAGTATGGTCAGGAGAAAGGTTCCCAGGGGCAGCACCATTTCCGGTCTTGTGATAATTCCCTCCCCAGGTTGGCTGTCATCAGGTTTGCTGAGAACGCGTTTAGGCACGTAGAGTGCACTAACAACATGTTCCTGCTTTTGACTATAGGTTCGTAACTGTAGGTGCAATCTGAAACATTTCTTTTGTGAGTGTTCAAACATTTTGCAGTGCTTGTAGTAGTAAGGTTTTTGTTCTATAAGGATTTTTTGCTAATAACCATTGTGAGCAGAGTCAAGCCAGACTTCTTCTACATCTGGTAGTGTAATATCCCTTTCAATCAACATCTTTGAACTGTAGGCGTGTCTACCTGCAAAAGTTTTCCGAGGATAGTCCCAATTGCATATAAGATAGGTAGATCAAAGAATTGAAGCTTGAGTTCAGATAATGAGAACCAGATAAGCGCAATTGGGGGTTCTTGACTGGGATCAAAAAGCCCAGAGGCTAATATATTAAAAGGAAAAGATACAACATGTTGTATGAGTGAGTCCAAAAAAAGGCACCCAACTCATACGGTACAACGCACACAAATTCTAAAAATAGAAAAGATACATATAATTAGGGATGCCCTAATTTAGTCTTGCCTCTACCTCTAGTTCTTGGAAGGGAGCCAACTAACAAATTGGTGAGGTGTGTATCATTGCCCAAAGTAATCAAAGTATGATCCATTAGATTCCTGAGCTCAAGTAAGTCTCCATTCTTCTTCTTCTTCTTCCTAGATGTGTAAATCTGTCATTCCTCATCCGAAGATTGATTGTTCGGATGAGGTGGTAGAACTATAGTAGAGAGATTACCAACCGTTGTAAGTACTATAGGTTTCAGTGTATGTGAAGTATAGGTTGTCGCCTCTGCACCAGATGTTTTCTGAAGATGAGAAGCTGCAAGTCTCTCATGATTACAAGTCTGAAAAATATCCTTTGTAGGTAAGGATCCTTCAGTAATGTTATCAATAAGGTTTGAAGGTGTAGGTTGCCCAGCAGAGCCATTCGACATCACATCAATCGCAAAAATAGAAGCAGTGTTGGCAAGGGGGGATCCAAAGGCAAATCAGACACTAAATCCTGTCTTGTGGGAAGTTCTTCCACAGGTTGAACAGAAGTGTCCATAGCAATGGGGTTAGACCCCTCTTTGTCTACTTGAGCTTTAGCTTTCAAATTTGAATGGAGTCTGTGACATTTATCAAGGGTATGCCCAAACATCTTAAAGTGGGTACAATAAAAAGGTTTATGTTCCATGACAATTTATTGCCAGTATCCATTGTGAGTTGTGCTCAGCCAGACTTTAGGGGCTAGAGCCCGCCGGCTGAACCGTATAGCAGAGAGACTAGGCGAACTCGGTCCAAGGAAGGGTCAGTCCCGATTCTTACGGGACCGAGCGGGAGCGGGAGGGCTTTTAGAACGAGGGGCTGCCCCGATTCCTTCAGCTTTGAGCGACATCTTGAATGAGTGACAATGCCACAAGGCCCCTTTGTCCCTTCCTTCTCTGTCTTTTCTCCTTTCCCTTATTGTTTCCTGCCTGAGGGGAGATTTAGTTGCATGTCGCTGGAATTAAGATTATGTTAAGTTGTATTGTTGTTTTCAGATTCTTCTTGGAGTCTACTTGTCCCTTGCTAGGGCTGTATCCGATAACGGCTGGTGCTTCGGCTACATCCTGCTTCGAGGTGGTGTTGTATCTTCCTCAGTCCTCCTCCCCTTTTGCCCTAGGCGCCGACCTCCCCACATCATCCGGCTCCTCTGCCGCCATAACCTGCTATGTTGCTATTAGCCTTGTTGTCTAACCCTCCCGCCACCCACCAACATCTTGTCGGCCACCTACAACAATTCTCCATCTGTCCGGCTCATTCCACCATCAACCAACACCCTTTTCCACTCTTCCCTACAGTTTTCCTTATCGCCGCACTCTCCCAATCCCCAAACTAGCCACCGACCACCATTCCAGCCTACTCGACAACCCTCAACCTTCCCCATCCCACCTTGCCAACTTACCGACGTTATCATCGCCCTCGGATCTTCTCTTCCGGTCCTAGTCGGAAACAGGTTTGTTATAGTATTTCCCTTTTCCGTTTGTGTTATGTTTTAACCCTAATTCAGTGCTATTAAAAAGTTACTTTACATTTTCGTTGATTTCCTAACTAGTGTGTGTATGTATGTATAACCAGCATCAAGCTTTTTTTTCTCTTATAAAAATGTTAAGCAGAAACAAATAAAGTAAGCATGCAAAAAAAGATTGATTTACTTGGGGTTGACAAACTCTGCGATAGCACCATGGGTTCTATTCAACTCTTCAATGTATGGTCCAAGTTCTAAAATAAGCTGTACATTAAAAAGCATCATCAGAACTTCGCTTCTAAACTAGTAACTAGCATTAGTCCATCATATACAAATTAGACTTTAAAGGAACGAAATAAAAGAGGATTTATAAAATAAGTAGATTTATTTTGAAAATTATGATCATTTCATCCTTATTACCGCTAGGAGGGTAAGGTTTAAAAATACCACTTCACATTAGTTTCAATTTAGAGTTGCATAGTTTACATCTCAAATAAGGAATGATGAATGATAACGGGACAGTCCTAATGCCCCACTCTTAAAAGTGGATCATATCACCTGATTTATATTGCCAGGGAAGGGAGAGTACCCAGTTTCACAGTTGGCATCTCCATCAGCATGTCCAGTCGATCTAAGTAAAGGATCGAGCTGATTGTACTCCACATTAATTACCATTGTCCTTCCTGAATTCATTTTTAACCCTGCTAAGTTTCAACATAAACAAAAGGGGGCATTTACATACATAACACACAATTCTTATGTATTTACATATCTCACATCTAAATTTTCCTATTTACATATAGAGGACTCAATTCTTGAATATAGCATAAGAAATAACACTATTATCATTTTTTAAAAGTGAAATACACCTTTGCATGCATAGGCTTAAAGCATCAAATGTTATGCATGTAAATGTGAAAGTTTAGGTGTGAGACATGCAAATACATAAGAATTGTGTGCTATGTATATAAATTGCCCTACAAAGAAATGCACTTGCATATGTATAAACACATTAAGGGATAATTTGCTTTGATTAAGCCATTTGGATGTTACTGGATTTTGAATATGGAACAGATAAGAACATTCGTTTGTAAAAAGAAGACGAAAGTTCCTGTTAATAGAGCTCCCTTTCTTAAAGGTCAAAAGTGAGTTTCAATTATGAGATTTTGGAAGTCTCATTCATTTTTACTATTTACCAAAAATAACATTAACATCAAATCAGGATAATAGTAGTATAAAAATTAAGTGTATGCAAAAGAAATATTTGACTGAGACTCATTTTAATAGAATTCATTTCCAAATACGTATGCATGAACAAGCTGGACATAATTGTTGAAGAACTTAAACAGCAGTATTGATAAAAGAGATGAATAGGACTATGTATCTTTTCTGTTTCAAAGCTAAACTGAAGGGTACCAGGATCTGTAGCAGTGAAGCAACTTCACATAAAATTAAGGCTGCTAACATATGCATGGCATGCAATTGTGTTTATTGTTAAAAGCAAGTAAATTAATGCTCAGATGTCTAACAAAAACTAAAGCTAGATCTAAATACATTAATTAAAAGGAAGATTTACATACATACCACTCAATTTTTATCTATTTTAACATCTAATGTCTAACTTCAAGTTATGCATGAAAAGGTGTATTTCACTTCTTAAAAGCCATTGACAAGGGGCTTGCTTGGGCTGAACCAGCCAGTTCAGAAGCAGGCATGTACTGGTCCAGCTAGGGAGGCTGGAGGCTGGACCGGCCGGTGCTTCTGTCAGCTGCTGTCTTCCCATCTAGGGCTGTATCTGAAGGCAATAAGGTGCTACAACTGCAACTAGTATGAGGAGATGATCTTCCCCAAGGGTTCGAGGGGTGCTCTGGGTGTAGCTCGCTCCTGCGGGGATATCTATTTGTGCTGAATCCCCCCTCCATTCTCTGTCCTACACCCCTTTCCCTCTACCACCCACTGTCCTCAGCCTACACGCTCCCCTCTCTATTCCATCTGCCAATCCCCTGTTTCCATAATTGTTGCTGCTGCAAGTTCCTCAAGCTGCCTATCCTGCTACTGCTGGTACCAACTTCCGTTTCCCATCCTGCAACTGCCTGCCTTTCCACAACATACAGGTTAGGTCGGCCCCTCTCCTATCCATATCCAACCGTATCCAACCATAACCACAGCCATCTAAACCTTCCAGCCACCACTGAAATCCCCACCTACACCACCGGCCCCCGCGTCCACCCATCAAGGTCCACGGAGCATCCTATCCAGCTCTAGATGGATATTAGTGTCTTATTGTGTTTCTCTGTTGTTGAGTTTCAATTATAACCCGTTGCTGTTTTGAATAATAAAATTCTGTTTTCCTATCGAATTTCTGGGTTAACTCCACTATCAGCTATAACAGTAGCATTTTTTCATGTGATGTAAAAAATTTTGGTGGCAGAAATGTGAAAAACAAAATTTAGGTGCAAGATATGTAAATACATAAGAATTGGGTGGTATGTATGTAAATGCCTCTAATTACAACATACTTCAGTAAAAAATATGAGTGATACCAAGCATGAAATGAAACAGTCTCCAGCAGAAAAAGATCACGGATGAATCGCAAAACAATAAAATACATTTTAATTGCAAACTTCATTCATATCAATGAGTGAATATCCTGCAACAGAAAAATCATTAGTAGGAAGTCATATCTTAGAAATTATTATTGTGTTTTATTATCTGATCATGTTTTGAAACTTAAAGTCAACATGAGTGTGTTGGGACAAGGCTAATAATGATTTGGACACTAGTTACATTAAATTGTCCAAATATTAATAGCCAAGGAGCTGCATTGAAAACATGTGGATCTGTTGCAGTTAATTTGATACAAGTAAATGATAAAGCTAAACCTAAAAGTTGAGAGTGGGCCCAAGAAAAACATGTAGACTGATACTCAGTTATAAATGTTACGGAGATTGTTTAAGAAGGCGCAGAAGACAAAATAAGCATATGGAAGAATGAGCAAAGTGTCAAAATGGTCCCTTGACTCTTTATAGGAAGTCATTTTAGTCTCAAAATCTATAAAAATGTCCAAATAATCCCTAAATTCTTTTAATGAGGGTTGAAATAGTACTCCTTGGGGACTATTTGACTATTTCAGCCCACAATAAAAAATAAAAAAACATATGGGGACTAATTTGACACTTTTATAAATTTTAGGACTAAAATGATTTCATGTAAATAGTCCGGGACTATTTTGACACTTTACTTATTGAAGAACATATAGTGATGCGCGCACCATCTGCATGAGTAAGCTTAGTTATTCCGCCAATAGCTTCCTTGGCTTTGCGAGGAACTGCAAGAGAGTTAACATGATATCCCTTAGTCGCACTAACTCCCAGAGAAGCTGGGATTGCCTGTATGGAAAGCGAAGAGGGTTAACCATAACTAGATACAGATTCAACAATTCATTAAATAAAGCCTTGTTCATAACTAGTTATTGTGGAAGAAGCATAGGAAGCTTTCTCGACCTTAAAGAGTAGTCCATTTGTATCTTGGAAGAATAAAACCCATCGTAGTCCAGCATCACGCCTAAAGAAAGAAAATTTCATAAAAATTAGAAGAAAATGGGTGGGCAGTAGCTCAGATGGCTTCACCTAAGTCAAGTTATATGATTGTATCCAAAAATATGGCCAAGCTTTATTATTGATTTGATGCATGAAACCTTGCGCAATGAAATGTGAGTATCAGAGAACATAGTGACGAACCATGTTCTCAAGAGGTCACTATTATAAAGAAGAGAATGCACATCACCATGGCCATGAGGTTTAGTCTGTAAAACAACAAATTTATAACAGGATAATATAAGGATATAAAAGGAATTAGCTGAATTTAACAAACAAAATACAGACCTGAATCATGTACTTGTCATTTGGGTCTAATGCAATTCTAGCATCATTATCATCTAAGCATGCCACTTTTTCCTGTTAAAAAAGGACCAAATGTTTGTGAATTTTTCTTGGTCGGCCATATGCAATTAAGTTAATACGTACCTGCTTAAGGAGTATCACTTGTCCAGGCTTCATTCCAAAATAAGAATTAGATTTTAAAAGCTTTAAAGTGGGTGTGTGGGTATCATCCGATGTCATTATGACAAAAGGAATCTCAACGGGAAACTCATCTGTAATTTTAACAGGATCATATAAAAAAGGATAAGAGGAAAAAATTCTAAAAAGACAGAATAAAATTTAAACAACACTTGCAATGCTTAACGAAATAATATAGTGAAATATAGCTTTTCTGACTAGTGCACCTTTGGTTATGAAAATTTTGTTATTAGCAATTTAAAACTTGTATGGGCTATAGAAGGCTCATGTATAGAAAATATTTCTTACACTTCCAAGTATTAAAGTGAAGTTTTGAAAAATATCATCTGTACTGATAAATAACCAATGGGAAACATGAAAATAAACTACTATCCTTTTATGCGGGAAAAGATTGCCCTCCAAAACCAATTTTCTTCGTTAGTTCCTTGACTACAAGGTCAAGATTCTTAATGACGATCACCAACCTAAGAATAACTTGATGATCTAGTTTGATAACTTTTTATGTAGACTTGACCATTGATTAAACTTAACGAAGAAATACACGCCTTGTAATTTTACAATAAAAATACTACTTTGTTAAAGTCAAATCCATTAGAATAGTTGTCATATTATACATGTTAAAGATGTTTCAAATGATTAAGTGCGTCTTCACCATGAAAGTAATTAATCATCCATCTGACTATTGTCCATGCCTGATGCATGATTAATTTATTTTAAAAATTGGCATTTTTTTTGAAGGTGATCAAGGTGACATGTATTTATTTATAAATTGGATGTTGATTTAATGAAAAATAATGCAAACTAAAATTGTGTCGAAATATATTCTTATCCTTCTAAAAAGTACGTTACTCTCTGTCCCCCCCC